GCCCCCCCCCTTGCCTCCCCAGATCCTTCCTTCCTCCCTCCCTCCCTTGATTCTCTCTGCCTCCCCTGCAGTTTGAGGAAGACCTCGTGGACATCTGCTTGGAACTCCTGGACCGGAGCTTGAACTACCGGGGCAACCCAGCCAGGGACTGCTCCCTGCGCGGCAGCGCGGTCTACGTCAGCCGGGTGCTGAGTGCCATGGTAAGGGAGACTGATCCCCCCCCTCGCTCTCCCCCCCCCGGTCCCGGCAGTGACCCTGGGAGAGCCCCTGGGGGAGCGTGGTGTGCGTGCTGAGACCCCTGGGCCGCCCAGCTGCCAGGAGAGAGGGGAGGGGAGTGGGCCACATCCCCTCCCCTGGGGGCCTCCCTCCACCTGTGCCGCCCCAGGGTGGGAGAAGGGCCTTCCCTCCGTGCCTCTCTGCGTCCCCCCAGGTCAACAGCAACGATGACAACGGGGTCCTGCTGGGCAACTGGAGCGAAGACTATTCTGGGGGGGTCCGCCCGACCCAGTGGAGCGGCAGCGTGGCTATCCTGCAGCGGTGGCACCGGGCGGGTGGCCAGCCGGTCAGATACGGGCAGTGCTGGGTCTTCGCGGCTGTGATGTGCACAGGTAGGGGAGCAGGGCCAGGGGTCAGACCGACGGCTCTTCCCACAGCAGCCGGCCCAGGCAGCCGGCCAGCCAGGTGCCCCCAGAGAGTCTTTGGCAAAGAGGCCAGCCCACCCCCACCCCCCGCAGTGGCTGCTGAGGGGGACACGGAGTCATCAGGGCTCAGGACCGAGGAGGGGGCCATCCTCCAAGAACCGGGCTCCCTCCTTGTCCAGGTAGCCCCATTCACAAGTCATGGGCAGTGCACATACAAGCCCTTTCGGGGTCTGGGTCTTGTACACATCCCCCCCACACACCCGAGGCCAGGCCAGGCCTCCCCGCGCACCGGTGTTGCTTCTTTCAGCAGAATGGGCAGTCTTGCATGCTGGGAGGATCCTACGTGGCATATGTTCGTAGCAACTGAATGTGAAAACTGAACAGGGGGACAGCGGCCACTTGGGTTTTCTTTGCTGGCCTGTTGAGTCGTTCTCATGTTACGTAACGTTCATTGCATGTGCCGCTAACTGCATGATTTATCCACATTTGCCCACTTTCCATTGGTCCCCAGTTTCATTGGCAAAGGGAACACTCGAGTTCGCTTTTCTCCCAGCCACTGCACCCTGGGGACCGCGGGTCCCTCCCCTGGCCACTGGCACCGTTCAAGAGGCATCCGCGGCCCTTCAGAAACTACTGCGGAGCCCTGCTCCGGCCTGGGGAGCTCTTGCGCCGTGGGCCCCTGAGCCGTGTGGCTGCCGAGGCCGGGCCTGCACCTGGGAGGGTTGGGCACCTGCTGCCCTTGCTGCCTCTCAGGGGCTGTGTGCTCAGATCCCCGTTGGGATGGGTGTGTGTGTGTGGGGGCAACCTGAAAGAATGGATGCCCTGACCCTCCACCAAGTGGTGCCCGTTTCCTGCCCAAGCGGAAGCAGGAAGGCCCAGACCTGCCGTGTGCCTGGGGCCAGCCGCCGGGGGGTGGGGTGGGGCTTCGTGGTCATGCCGGGCCCTGTCGTGGCTCTCTCTGCTCCCTCCCCAGTGATGCGGTGCCTTGGGATCCCAGCCCGTGTGGTGACCAATTTCAACTCGGGGCACGACACAGACGGGAACCTGATTATCGACGTCTTCTATGACAAGACGGGCCAGCTCCTGCCCCGCGAGAGCAAGGACAGTGTCTGGTGAGAACAGGGCACCCGCCTGCCCGCCCATCCCGCGAGCACCAGAGGCAGACGTCTCCCGAGCCCTCCGAGGGCCCCCGCACCCCCCACCCCCACCCCCCAGCTGCCCTGCTCCACCGAGGGCTGCCAGCCTCCAAGGGGGGCCTGGAGGATTCCCCTGGAGAGAAAATCTAGATGTGAGTCCGGGGTGGCCCCTCCGGGCCCGTAGCTGCGGTGGGGCTTTTGGGGGCTCCGCCCTTTTTCTTAAAGGCACAGCCCCACAAGAATTTCTCCTGTAGATGCTTTTTTCAATCATTCAAAAACTTTTTTAAAGGTATGCGCTAGTCTGGTGTCGTGGTTAAGTGCGCGGACTCTGTTTTTTTTTTTTAACAGTATTTTATAATGATTTTCTAAACAATATTCCAACATACAGCTGTTACAAGTACTTCTTCCCAGATGAGCATACAACCTCATTTCATTTCAACTCTATATACAAACTTATTCCTAACCCGCCACCCTCAGTTTCCACATATACAATTTCTTCCAGTTGTTTTTAAAAAATTTTCCCTCCTTCCCTTTTAATAAACATGAAATTTTATCCATTTCCGCAACTTCAAATAGCTTTTGAATGACCGCGGACTCTGTTCTGGGAGAACCAGGTTTGATTCCCCACTCCTCCTCCACTTGCACCTGGCTGGATGACCTTGGGGAAGGCGTAGTTCTGATAAGAGCTGTTCTTGAAAAAAGAGCAGTGTCTGTCAAGAGCTCTCTCAGCCCCGCCTACCTCACAGGGTGTCTGTTGTGGGGAGGGGAAGGGAAAGGAGAGTGTAAGCCGCTCTGAGACTCCTTCGGGTAGTGAAGGGCCATGGGGTATAAATCCAATCTCTTCTTCTCTTCTTCTTCTTAAACAGAGTGAGGTGCTGTAGTTAACTTTCCCGCCCTGAGCAAGGGGTTGGAGTAGTTGACCTCTAGGATCCCTTTTAAGTCTGTGTCAAGAAACTGGCCTCCTTTAAGAGAGGGGTTTTTTTTGCCTAAGCGTTGGCTTTCTTGACTATAGAAGTCATCACCACCACTTGCTGGCTTGTTATGTTATCAGAATGGATGCTTAGGCTGGCAGAAGGGATTAACTTGCAGCAGCTGAGAACTGTCATCTACAGTGGCTGACAGCTTGCCATTTAGAGATCTGTCCCGGTCACAGCTTTCTGTTGGCTAAATGGCTTTTCTTTCTGTACTGAGAATTCCAGCCCCAACAGAAAAAAATTTGCCCCACAAGCCGCAGAATCGTGGCCATGGGCCTGTGGGCACCTTAGGGACCAGCAAGATCTCCAGGATATAGAAGCTTCCGAGAGTTCAAGGCTCCCTTCGCCAGACCCAACACGGGGAGCCTCGGCTCTTGGACGATCCTGGGGGGGGGGTGTCTCTCAGGCGCCCCTGGACTCAGGAGTCGAGCTCTTCTGCGGCAGACCAACAGGGCTGCCCCTCTGGAAAGATCTTCCTGGAGAAAATGGCTGCTTTGAAGGGTGGACTCCGTGACGTTCTTCCGCCCCACTCCACTGAGGTCCCTCCCAGTGTTCCCTCTAAGCTGAGTTAGTGTGAGCTAGCTCACAGTTTTTTAGCCTCCGGATCACACATTTTTGTCTTAGCTCAGGAAGGGGGGCTCCAGAGCAAACCAATTCATGTAGCAGCCAAATCGCTCACTCACAACTTTAATGCCAGGAGCTCACAAAGTAGAATTTTTGCTCACAGGACTCCACAGCTTAGAGGGAGCATTGGTCCCTCCCCAGACTCCACCCCCCTGATCTCCAGAATTTCCCTACCTGGAGTTGGCAACCCTAGCTCCACCTTGTGTCCCCCCCCCCCCAAGGACCTACCGTGCCTCTTCAAGTTCTTCTGCGACCCAACAAGATCCCTTCGGTAGGTGAATGCGGCCCAGGTGGACCCTGGCGCATGCAGTGCCCACCCCCGCCTGAGCCATGGCTGAGGGAAAGCACCTCCGAGGCAGAGCAGTGTGTCAGTTCAGCAGCAAGGAAGCATTATGCTTTACTAGAGTACAAAACTGGTACCCTATCCACAGGATTATTGTTAGGAATGACCATGGGGCGGAAACATCCTTACATATAGCAGGACGAGACAAATGGCTAAGTATATGAAACCCGAGTGCACACGCGGAAATTCTCCAAGCGGGAGGATACATGATAAGCGGGAGAGTCGCAGATTCACACCAGCGGTGGAACGCAAGCCCTCCCTCCTTCACAGGGCCAGACAGATAACGCCGTCTGGTCTCCCTAGCAATGTTTACTGCAAGCGGCGGAGCAGCGAGCAAGCCAGGATCAGAGAAGGGAACAAGCAAAACATGGCAGCTAGCTGACAGGTGGCCCCACCCCTCCGCCATCCCCTGGTCCGCGTTGTTTCCTGGCCCCCCACTCCCCCACACACATCTGTGAGCTGCCACCAGCCGCCCCCAGCTCCAGAAACCATCTCCTGCGGCTTCCTTCCTCGCAGGAACTTCCACGTGTGGAACGAGTGCTGGATGGCGCGGAGAGACCTGCCGGTGGGGTACGGTGGCTGGCAGGTGTTGGATGCAACCCCCCAGGAGCGCAGTGACGGTCAGTGTCCATCTCCATCCCCGGGGGTGGGGTGGGTCGGCTCAGCTCTGCTGCTCTAACACCCCTGCCTACTTCACCCCCTTCCCCTCCCCTCCCGTAGGGCTGTACCGCTGTGGCCCAGCCCCCGTCGCGGCCATCCGGGAAGGAGATGTGCAGCACCGCTACGACGCCCCCTTTGTGTTCTCGATGGTGAACGCGGACCGTGTGGCTTGGCTGCTCTCTGGGGGGAGGAGGGAGAAGCTGCACTGGGACAAGAGCTCCATCGGGATCCACATCAGCACCAAACGAGTCGGGAGTCAGGACCGAGAGGACATCACCGGCACCTACAAGCATGCGGAAGGTCTCCCCCTCCCTCCCTCCCTCCCTCCCTCCCAGCAGCACGGGGGGGTGGCGTGACTTGGCTCCCTCTTCCTCATTTCATCCTCTGTGAGGCTAAGAGGACGGGGCAGTGACCTGAGGGCACCCAGCCAGTTGTGCCACACCAGCTCCATGGGCACGCCACCTGCTGAGGTTGGTGCAGAAAGCCATGCCTGACCCCGAGCTCCCTCCAGGGGGCAACCTGGAGCCAACGGTGGAGGGTCCAGGGGCAATGGGACGCCTGGCCAGATGTGCAGATTGGGAAGGGAAGCAGAGAAAAGCCACCCCCCCCCAAAACCACAAGGTTTCCCGGGTGGGTGCCCAGCATCTGGATGGCAGCTTCCTGGAGGAGAGGTTATGGGCCCAGGATGCCTTCCTGGGCAAGGGGCATGTGCCAGGAAGAGGGTTAGGGTTAGGCTGTGTCTGGCCCCACTAGACCACACAATGATGATCCCCCTCGCTCTGGCCTGTGATTTCCCCGGGCTGGGTCCTGCCCCAGATCTGCTGCCTTCCCCACCCCTCAAATGCAACAGGTCCTCCCAGAGAATCTGCCCCATGGGCAGCAAACAGCCAACCCCCGGGGGCCTCCTGTTCACCACTTCTCCTGGGAGTATTTGCTGGGCAGTGGGAAGCATAGGAGCCCTCCAGGAGAGCGCTCCCTTCCATCCTACCAGGCCCCCAAAGCAGGCAAGCAGGGCAGGGTGACCCAGAGAGAGGGCACCGCCGGGAAGATGCCCAAGCACGGGGGGGAGGGGGCCTTGGCATCCGCCCGCGCCAGCGGCCCATTCCTG